TTTTTATTGTGGCATTCATGTCGGATTTCAAGGTCCTAGAAGAAATTACGAAATCTAAAAATATTTTAGGGAAAAAATTTAAAGACCAGCGATAAAGGAAGGGATTTTCTAGTTAACAAACACATTTTCTTTAATTTGACACAAATTAAAGGGTGTGGTGAATTTTCAAATAAACTCGCCCCCCATATAAGATGGCTTAAAAAACCCATAAATTTATTTATGCATATATCTGGATGTAGAGAAACTGTCTTAACATCGTAAATTTCAATTACAAATTTAAACAAATAAAATTTATATCAAATCTTCTAAAGTCCAATCAATATCTGACATTTCTCAGAAATTCATGTACGATACATTTCTTCGAAGACAGAGCCATTATTTTAAATGTCGTTTTCGCATTAAGAAATTAATTTTCTTTGATTAGACATCAATTCTAGGGTGTGGTGAATTTCCACAAAAATTCACCACACCTTGAAAATTACGTAAATCACCTAAAAATATTTTTCTTCACATATCTAGATGTTTAAGAATTTTATTAAACCATAAATTTGAATGGAAAATTAAAATAATAAAAGAATATTTCAAATCCAAACACTAATTCTCTCACAAATTTCGACCATTTTTCTCAAACGTTTGAAGCAAAAAATTGTTTTTACAATATTGTTTCCCCATCAACAAATAATTTATCATTAATTTGAAAAAAAAAAATTAGAGTGTGGTGAATTTTTCTCAAAACTCACCACACCTCGAAAATTGCTTGAAACAGCTTAAAATGTTTTTTATATGTCTCTAGATGATTAAAAATAGTTTTGAGTCGAGAGTCTTAAATTTCAACCAGAATTTCCGATTCTAACCCAAAGGACTGTATTTTTCAGTTTAGACCTTAATGGTAACTTTTGAGGCATAAATATTATTCATAAAGTACATGTACAAGTACAAGAAACTTAGAAATTTAACATGGCATAAGTAAAAATGTGTAAAAAAAGGCCAGGAGATGAAGAATGTCTTGAATGGAGGAAATTTAATTTTTAATGAAATTTTTGGGGGAAAATTGGAGAACGTTTTTGTGTAACTGCCTTTAAACTTCATAATAAGCTATTTATTTTAAATTTTAGCAATTTTTAAGGTGTGGTGAATTTTTATAAAAAAAAAACTCATCACACCGGTAAAACAATTGCATTCGTTTAAAATTGTGAAAATATTAATGTTTGAAACATTGACTTGGCCAAAAATGAGTCGGAGAACCAACCGTGGAGTGGTAAATTTTTATGAAAACTCATTCACTGTATGTAAATATGGATGTTAGAAACATATAATAAATGCCAAAAACGGACAAATTTATCTCTGAGCCTTAAAAAAAATTGGGAGTGCTGGTTTTTTCTTTAAATTTCTTTATTCGATAAAAATTTGTGAAATAATACTAGGAAAAATCTTAGAATGTCTTATTACTCAACATTATGTAATTTTAGAACAATTCCAGCCATTTTCAAGGTGTGGTGAATTTTTGTAAAAACTCACCACACCTGAAAAATGGCTGCATTTGCCTTAATTTGTCTAAATGTTGATGTCAGAAACCGAAATTGACAATTTCGCACGCAAAAAAATGTTTCAGGAACCTTAAAAAAACTTAAAAGTTAACAAAAAAAACTTTTCATTTAAATTTATTTTTCAATAAAAATTTTAGAAAAAAAAGTGGACAAACACGATTTTTAATGTCTAATTATTTAATACTAAGTAATTTTAGAACATTCCCATCCATTTTCAAGGTGTGGTGAATTTTTGAATAAACTCACCACACCTGAAAAATTGTTGCATTTGCCCTAACATTGTGTAAATTGTAATATAAGAAAGAGAAGTTGATTGCTATGCATCAAAAATAGCTCTCTGAACCCTAAAAAACGACGTAACGGCGTTTTTCATTAAAATTTACTTTTTTTGTTAAAAATTAAAAAAAAAAGTGAAGGAAAATTGTTAATGTCTAGTTACTCAATATTACGCGATTTTCGATGATTTCCAGCCATTTTCAAGGTGTGGTGAATTTCCGTAAATACTCACCATACCATATAAATTACTGCATTTACTTTAATTTTGTGTAAATTGTAATATAAAAAACAGAAGATGATTGCGATGCATCAAAAATAGCTCTCTGAACCCTAAAAAACTCAAATGTAACGACATTTTTCTTTAAAATTTATTTATTTATTTTGATAAAAATGTTAGAAGTTGAAAGGAACATTTTTTAATGTCTAATTACTCAATTTCAAGTAATTTTCGATGATGTCCAACAATTTTCAGGTGTGGTGAATTTTAGTAAAAACTCACCACACCTGAAAAATTGTTTCATTTGCTTTAATTTTGTGTATATTGTAATATAGAAAACAAAAGTTGATCGCTATGCATCAAAAATAGCTCTCTGAACCCTAAAAACACGAGAGTAGCGACTTTTTTCATTAAAATTAACTTTTTTTGTTAAAAATTTAAGAAAAAGTTGAAAGGAACATTTTTTAATGTCTAATTACTCAATATTATGAGATTTTCGTTATTTTCCAGCAATTTTCAAGGTGTGGTGAATTTCTATAAAAACTCACCACACCTGAAAAATTGTTGCATTTACTTTAATTTTGTGTGAATTGGAATATAGAAAACAGAAGTTGATTGCTATCCTGTAAAATAGGTCTCTGAACCCTAAAAAACTCAAGTGTAACGACTTTTTTCTTTAAAATTTCATCTTTTTATAAAAATCGAAGAAAAAATTGAAAGGAAAATTTTCTAATGTCTAATTACTCAATATTACGCGATTTTCGATGATTTCCAGCCATTTCCACGGTGTGGTGAATTTCCGTAAAAACTCACCACACCTGAAAAATTACTGAAATTGCTTAAATTAATAATAATATTTACAATAGAAGTAAAATTTTAAGGTTTTGTTTATATATTACTCATCTTAATGAGAAACTAAGCCATGTAGAAACCATACTATTTCCTAATTTTTAATTTAATTAGAAAAATACCTCCATCTTGTGTGGTACTTGCCGTTTTAATTAGATTTCAAAAGTCATTGAAAAGTGGAAATTTCATGTATTTCCTTCCAAAACAAAACGACCTTATCCTTTTTGCGGATTGTTTTGGTTTTAATTGGCAATTGGCCAATTGAATTACACAAGCCATCAATGGCTTTATTTGGTTATGGAGAACGAAAACCAAGAAAGAAAAAAAAAACAAGAACTCATTAAATTTTGTTGAAATGAAGTCTCCAGACAATGTTTGGCAGACGCCATAATGACTGGCGATGATGAACGCAACTCATGTGTGTGTGTGCGTGTGGGAGTGTGCTTTAGGCTTCCATATCACTTACTCACCCATGAAATTAGTAAAATAATCAAAATCTATAGTTTTGTAAATTTATAAAAGTGATACCTAAACTGTTATATTTAAAAAAATTTAAAAACTGACTTGAATTCCTATCATTTTGGAACAGTTACTTTCAACTGTTATACAGCTATTATAGTGCTCAAAATGTTATGCCACTTCATACAGGTTATATAAATTCCAAAAACCGAGAATTTTTCAAATGTAAAATAAACTGTTATACTTTTCAAACACACCCAAAAATTATAAATTTCTTTAATTGAAACAATGAAGAAAGTAGTTCTCATAAATATATGATTGTATAGCAGTTAGAAAAAAATAATTTCCTTTGTATAACAGTTGTTTTAAACGATAATGCAGTCTAAGTCAAGTTGTAAATAGTTTTGTTAGACATTCTTTTGTTAAACTTTCCAAATGATAACATTTTTTGAGTTGTAGCCCAGTTATTGGTGCTGTATAACAGTTATGCCAAACTGTTATACTCCTCTGAAATGCATACGAATGCTATATTTGCTTAGATATAGATATCCTGTTGAATTGGGAGTTAAATGTTATAGTATAACAGTTTTTGTTAACTGTTATACAACTAAAAAAAGCTAAAAAATCAAAAAAGAAAATAAATTGTTTTACTTTAGCGCAAAATAAAAATAAAATATGTATATTCCACCATTTCTGGTTTCACTATTTAGGACTATTTAAGAATTTTCTAATTTTGTTTGTATAACAGTTATTTTTAATCATAAAACTGACTAAATCAAGTTGTTGGATAAATATTTATTTGATATATATTTCAAATAAGAACACTTTTGCAATTGTAGAACGATTGAAAATTCATATAAAATATTTAATATAGGTATCCGGTTGATTTTGGGTTGAAATTTGATTGTATAACAGCTTTTGTTAACTGTTATACAACTAAAAATAGTTAAAAAACAAATCCAAAATATATAAATTTTTTTTATACTTTGACTCAAAAAAGAATAGAAAATATGTATATACCGCTATTTCAGGTCTCATTAGTAATGACTGCCTAGGAACGTTCTAATTTTAGTTGTATGACAGTTATTTGGGACAGTTATACACACTTAATCACTCAGTGAAGTGGTTTGTTAAACCTTATTTTGTTATATTTTCCAAAAAAAATAACATTTTTGCAGTTGTAGAACAGTTTTTCGTGCTGTATAACAGTTATGTCAAACTGTTATACTCCTATGAAAATGCATAATAATGCTTACTTTTCTTAGATATAGCTATCTTGTTGAGTTAAGAGTTAAAATTCGTAGTATAACAGTTTTTTATTAACTGTTATACAGGTATAAAAAAATCTAAAAAAATTCCAAAAAAATATATTAGTAGCTGTCATTTTACACAATGTTGAAATGAAAAATATTATTACAAAAAGAGCCCCCTCAAAAAAATGGAACAGCAGCCAAACAAATGAAACGTGTGGTTAAAAACGCTTTGAAACCAAAAAAAAAACGGAATAAAATAAAATCAATAAAAAAACCAAAAAAATTGCAACTGAAAACGAAATCGCCCGCCCAATAAACTTCGACTTGAAATCAAACTCCTCGAAAAAAAAATAAACAAAAAGTGAAAATATTTTTTTCTTCTTCTTCAAATAATTACAGGATAAGTTTTTTCTGCTTTACCTTATGGTTTTGTACCGAAACAAAACAAACAAACTTCACTCACATTGAGTGAAATTGCATGTCAAAAATAAAAAACGGAAACTGTAAATAAATTCTACAGTGGAAAAGTTTTACCAAAATCAACCTCAATATCCCCGTTTTTTTTCTTTGGCCAAAAGTCTTCCTGGAATCCAATCCCCCTCAAATAAGGGAAAAATAACTGCCTACCTGCCTGCCCGCCCGCCTGCCAACAACCAAGCATATCCTGTAGTTTAAGAAACAATATCCCAGGTTGTTTTTTTTTTTGGTTCTCTTCTCCTCTTCTTCTACAACAAAAATTAAAATCAAAATAACAATAAGAACATAGTACCAACAACCAACATGGCTTCCAATGATCCAGCGAATAACATAGAACTGGGCAAGGTGCCAGCTCCAGCAGAAGGAGCCCAACCAGAGGTAAGTTGTAAAAGTTCCCTGTGACGTTGCAAAAATAAGTTTTTGATTTTTTCATTTTTTTGAAACTTGCCTGTTTCCTTTTTTCGTCTTTTCGATTTCTGGTATTTCATTTTTGTTTATTTGCTAGTTTGTTTGTTTTTTTTTTTCTTTTTTCCTATTGTCATTTGCCAAACTTCCGGCATGTTTATTTTTGTAATTAGAAATAGTTTGCAATGTCCGAAAATACCGCATAGAATTGTTGCACCTTAAGTAGATTTAGTATTGAGTTCAATATCCTGATATTCAGAGAAGTCCTTATTTCCCATATCCTGTAAATTAGGAATATAATTTTTTTTTCTTTTTATAACCTCCACCATACTATGGAGGGTATATTTACTTTGTCATTCCGTTTGTAACTCCTTGAAATACTCATGTCAGACCCAACAAAGTATATATATCCTTGATCAGCGTAAAATTCTAAGTCGATTTAGCGATGTCTCTATGTCCGTCTATCAATCTGTTGTAATCACGCTATCTTCCGAACGAATTGAGATAAAAGGCTAAAATTTTGCACACATGCATAGTTTACCAGTAGGCAGGTTATGTTCGTAAATGGGCCATGTAGGCCCACGTCTTCGTATAGCCCCCATATAACGGTACCTCCCAATATTCGGTATTTTGATGATTTTAGCGACATTATTCACCGGAATTGTTTCAAATTTAGTATTCTAAGTTCGTAATGGCAACTATAGTCTGTGACAGAAAATTGTATATGCAGGCCCACGTCTTCGTATAGCCCCATATAACAGCACCTCCCGATATTCGTTTTTTTTTTTAATGATTTTAGCGACATTATTCACCGGAATTGTTTCAAATTTGGTATTTGAAGTTCGTAACGGATATTACAGCCTACGACAGAAAATTGTCTGTGCAGGTCCAGGTCTTCGTATAGGCCCCATATATCAGTACCTCCCAATATTCAGTATTTTGATGATTTTAGCGTCATTATTCACCGGAGTTGTTTCAAATTAAGCATTTAGAGTTCGTAATGGGTTCTACAGCCTATGACAGAAAATTGTCTGTGCAGGTCCACGTCTTCGTATACGGCCCCATATATCAATACCTCCCTATATTCGGTATTTTGATGATTTTAGAGTACAATACTCACCGAAATTGTTAGAGATGTCGTATTTGAAGTTCGTAATGGGTTCTACAGCCTATGACAGAAAATTGTCTATGCAGGTCCACGTCTTCATATAGTTTCGATATAACGATACCTCCCAATATTCGGTATTTTGGTGATTTTAGCGACATTATTCACCGGAGTAGTTTCAAATTAAGTATTTAGAATTCGAAATAGAATCTACAGTCTGTGACAGAAAATTGTACGTGCAGGTCCAGGTCTTCGTGTAGCCCCCATATATCAACACCTCCCTATATTCGGTATTTTGATGATTTTAGCGACATTATTCACCGGAATTGTTTCAAATTTGGTATTTGAATTTCGAAATGGATACTACAGTCTGTGCCAGAAAATTGTCTATACAGGTCCAGGTCTTCGTATAGCCCCCATATAACGGTACCTCCCAATATTCGGTATTTTGATGATTTTAACGACATTATTCACCGGAATTGTTTCAAATTTGGTATTTGAAGTTCGTAATGGATACTAAAGCCTATGACAGAAAATTGTCTATGCAGCTCCAGGTCTTCGTATAGGCCCCATATAACGGTACCTCCCGATATTCGGTATTTTGGTGATTTTAGCGACATTATTCACCGGAGTAGTTTCAAATTAAGTATTTAGAGTTCGAAATAGAATCTACAGTCTATGACAGAAAATTGTCTGTGCAGGTCCACGTCTTCGTATAGGCCCCATATATCAGTACCTCCCTATATTCGGTATTTTGATAATTTTAGCGTCATTATTCACCGGAATTGTTTCAAATTAAATATTTAGAGTTCGAAATGGGAACTACAGTCTATGACAGAAAATTGTCTATGCAGGTGCAGGCCTTCGCACAGCTCCAATATAACGGTACCTCCCTATATCCGGTATTTTGATGATTTTAGCTACATTATTCACCGTTTATTTCAAGTTTCGAATTTGAATATGGTAATGGCTTATGACAAACAATGCCAATGTAGGTCCACATCGTATAGACCCCAATATAACGTCTATATTCTGTATTTTTTAAAAATCTTAACAGAATTTTTTAACGGATTTTATTTTTTGAAAATTTCCAAATTCGTTCTAAAACGGCCCGGCCAAAATTACTGCTTTTTAACTTTGTCCTGGGAAATAAATTTTAAAAGATCTACCATTTCTGCTGGTCCTGGCGAAATTATCAAAAAACACATATGTTCCATTGGTAGTAGAATATTTAGAGTAGTACGAATATGAATCTTCCAGGGATGTTGTAAAAATGTAATGGATCCTTCCACCTCTGTTATGGGGAAGTTTTTCTACCTCCCTTTATTGGAGGTTACTTATTGGCTCTATTTTCCACTCTCCTTTTCTTCTCCTCTATATAGAAGACTTTCTGCATCAATACAAAAATCTTCTCTCCCTTCCCTCTCCCCTTAGAGTCCGATTAATTACCAATGCTTCAACAAATAACAAAATCAATGTTTGCTACAAACCTGCATTAACCTTTTATCACAAAGAGATAGAGAGAGAGAGAGAGAGAGAGCGATAAACCAAATAGAAGCAAATATAAATAAATAAAAATACAAAAACAAAACACAAAATCCTTTGTTTAAATATTCAACATCTTTTGTTAATTACGAAGCAAATATGACCATCATAGAGGCCAAGCTGGCAGCCATCATGCCCGACTTTGACTTGGCCAACAAATATCAAATGCCACGGAATTAGTTCATCGAGGAGAGGGGGAATAGTGGAAAAATCCAAAACCAAAGTATGGCCTCAAGAAACATCCTTCGTTGGAGTTTAGCTCCACAACTCAAAGAGCAGTCCGACCGACCACAAACAGCGTTCAGAGAGATAGAGAAAAATAATTGCTCTAAAAAGGATACGGACGTGTGAATTCGAATGTTGGCATGGAATGAAAAAATAGAACCAGGCAACCAAATGGTGGTCCACATATATGACCATCATCGTCAAGGCAAATATCATCATCTCAAGTCTTTTGCACTAATGAGGAACAAATAATGAAAAATAGCAAAGAAAGAGAAAATCTGACAAAAAAAAATACAATATTTTTTACACATATGAGGGAAGTGCCGAGGGGAGGGAGGGAGAGACTGAATATTGCTCACAAATATTGCCAAATTAGAGCATATTGAGGTTACTGGCTGTGCCGTCTTAGATATTGGCACAAAACCAATATTATGGCCATACGTAAAGAAAGAAAATAAAAAGGGCTAACAAATGTGCTGGGCTGGGTTGTGGGTTCTATGGCATTCGGAATTCGGCAACTCTTTAATGTTGCGAATGAAGATTTTTTTTTGGGAGGGAAAACATTTTTCTTTTTATTTTTAATATATCCAGAGGTTTTAGAAATTTTCAAAAAATAAAATCCTTAAAATATTCTAGTAAAATTTTAAAAATACCGAATATAGCCATTATATTGGGGTCTATACGTTGGCGTTGTTTGTCATAAGCCATTACCATATTCAAATTCGAAACTTGAAATAAACGGTGGATGATGTAGCTATAGTCATCAAAATATCGTATATAGGGAGGTACCGTTATATCGGAACTGTGCGAAAACCTGGACCAGCATAGACAATTTTCTGTCACAGGCTGTAGCATGCATAACGAACTTCAAATACGACATCTCAAACAATTTCGGTGGGTATTGTACCTAAACTCGTCAAAATACCGGATACAGGGAGGTACTGATATATGGGGCCTATACGAGAATCTGGACCTGTATAGACAATTTTCTGTCACAGACTGTAGTTTCCATTACGAACTCTAAATGCGCAATTTGAAACAAACATCCAACTCTCTTCAAATTTCAACGGAAAATTGTTTATGCAGGTCCAGGTCTTCGTATAGCCCCCATATAACGGTACCTCCCGATATTCGGTATTTTGATGAATTCAGCGACATCATTCACCGGAATTGTTTAAAATTTGGTATTTGAAGTTCGTAATGGATACTACAGTCTGTGACAGGAAATTGCCTATGCAGGTCCAGGTCTTCGTATAGCCCCCATATAACGTTACCTCCCGATATTCGGTATTTTGATGATTTTAGCGACAATATTAACCGGAAATGCTTCAAATTTGGTATTTGAAGTTCGTAATAGATACTACAGCATAAAACAGAAAATGGGTCATGTAGGTCCACGTCTTCGTATAGCCCCCATATAACGGTACCTCCCTATATTCAGTATTTTGACGATTTTTGCGACATTATTCACCGGAATTGTTTAAAATTTGGTATTTGAAGTTCGTAACGGATACTACAGCCTATGACAGAAAATTGTCTGTGCAAGTCCACGTCTTCGTATAGCCCCCATTTAACGGTACCTCCCAATATTCGGTATTTTAATGATTTTATAGAAATTTTTTCACTGGAATTGTTTCAATTTTGGTATTTAAAGTTCGTAATGGATACTACAGCATAGGACAGAAAATGGGTTATGTAGGTCCACGTTATCGTATAGCCCCATATAACTGTACCTCCCGATATGCGGTATTTTGATAATTTTAGCGACATTATTTACCGGAATTGTTTCAAATTTGGTATTTGAAGTTCGTGATGGGAACTACAGTCTGTGACAGAAAATTGTGTGTGCAGGCCCACGTCTTCGTATAGCCCCCATATAACTGTACCTCCCAATATTCGGTATTTTGATTATTTTAGCGACATTATTCACCGGAATTGTTTCAAATTTGGTATTTGAAGTTCGAAATGGATACTACAGCATAAGACAGAAAATGGGTGATGTAGGTCCACGTCTTCGTATAGCCCCCATATAACGGTATCCACCGATATTCGGTATTTTAATTATTTTAGCGACATTATTAACCGGAATTGTTTAAAA